ATCTTTGCCCATCTTTCTGTGTTGTTTTTTTATACTGAATGCTGATTTCCCCCTGCACATCCACTTGCTTAAGATGAGCAACTATCTGAGAGGACTGAACGGACTGAATTGAGCGTTTGTGCAATGCAAATTAATACAGCAACCCAAAGGGACGCGGGAAAACAACTTGTTGTGGAACATCATGTCATCCTTTTGTAAAAAATAAAAGAAGTGTAATAAAGACGCTGAAAGTATGCATCAATTTGTGGTCTTTGTATATCTTCCAAAGAGGAGGTTTAAAACCACAATTTCCATGAAAAAAAGGTTTAAGCTACCTCATGCCTGTACTTAAAGAAAATACTTTTGACAAAAGCTGGGTCCACAACCGAGATGTTAAGGCTTCAATGCTTCAAGCTTTGTCCTGTTTCGGAAGGTGCTCAGTTACTTGAAGCAGAGATCTATGGTGCTAATATGCAGCTGCGGAGCAAACCACTTTTTACTGTATTACTTTGTATTGACATTTGAGGAGTCTTGCATTGGTCCCCTGATACTCCCTCATTTTAAGCAGGTGGAATGTTCCTAAATCTAATGTCTGGTTTTTGTTTTGTTCTTTTTTGTTTTGTCAAGAAGGTTTTTTTTTGTTTTGGTTTTTGTTCAGGCTTTTTTACTCTTCAATCCCTACACCAAGTGTTCATACTGACAGCACATATTTCATCCAATTCTGAATGGTTTTAGGCAGCCTCTCTCTCTTAAAAAATGAAACCACAAAGTCTATTGTACCTATTTTGTATATGTGAGATGTTTAAATAAATTGTGAAAAGTTCTGAAATAAAGCATGTCCAATGTTCCAAAACACACTACTCAGTGACTTAAGTGCTTTCATGTTTTAATGACACCATTGAAGGTTTGTCACTGTATTTTGGTTCTAGTTTGGCTGATGATGACCTATCATCATTAATTTAAACATCTTCCTATTGTGGAAGCACAGCCATATTATTTTTTACTTTCCCCCTCTTTATTGCTTTTCAACAGTACATCCAATTTTAATGTACAGAACAATTCTGTTGACACTGTCCATGCCAATGTGTGATTACTAACGTGCATTGTTTCTTGTAAATATGCATCCTATGATGTTGCTTTTCCTTGCTTTTGCATCCAAATAAATTTCTGTGATTTGGATCAAGGCTTGAATTGCAATGATGAATGCACATGGATATTAGATTCAATAAGGACATGGCTCATGCATTACTGCAGACATGAATGTTTTTTCACTTTCGTCACAGGCTGAGAGTCAGCATGAGTTCAGTGTGTTGAGGAAACTTGGATATGCAAGCTTAACAAATACTTCTATTTATAACTCCACATGTACAAAAGGAATAGTTCTGTTCAGCCCGAGATACATGTAGAAGCACCAATACTTAAAAAGTCCCTTGCAGCACCAATACTTAATACTTTCTGACAGCTCAAGTTATTTTGCAGATATATATTTGCATTGTTCTTTTGTAGCTACCAGACAAACCGGTTGAAGTACTGCAACCAGGTTGTTAGTACAGTACTAAAAGCTCCTTATGTAAGGATGTGAGCACAGTACAAACAAAATCATGCCACAGGATCCTTCTACAAGACACTGTCCCTATGCTGATGTAATAATGTACGACTTAACATAGTCGCTATTTTACTTATACACATATTCAACTAATTAAATAACATACAACCAACTGTCCCATGGTCAACCTGGGGTCAAATGGATGCTGCCTTTGCCCAGTTATCCAACGTACAAAGTTATTACAATCTTAAACAACTAGACAATTAAGACCTTGATTTATAAAAAAATGAATCAGTAATAGTAATTTCATAAAAATGTGTATTCACTGCATTTCTTCTAGTACAATAAAATAATGCACTTCCGATTCAGACCTGCACCCACAGTCTTTATACAGATGCTTACTGCTTACTATTTGCTCAGTGTGATGACCTCTGTGCTTGCTGGTCTTGTTTGATTTTCAGGTGATCGATATGAAAAGCCTGTTGAGCCACATGAGGCAATTAAAGGTGAACACCACCCAACAGTTCCTGCTAACTTTTCCTTTTGTGCCAGCTGGTATTCGGTGCCAGTGACACACAACCATTCATGCAAACATGACTAATAACTGCCTTTCACGTTTAGTTCAAGCACTCTCCTTGCTCCAACCCAACAACTCCAGCACATGACCACACTGAAATGATACCCCAGTGGGGTAAGCACTTAATGGTGGGGTAGGTATGTTTGAGAAACTGGCTCGGGCTCGAGATACATTTTTTGTTATATTCCATGGAATGCTCTGACAAAAAATCCATAAAAACATTTCATCTGTGGAAGCCGTAGTGTAAAAAGCACGACCAATCATTTTAGCCGGCCCGGCTAAAATAACTGGATGGCCTTCCATCTGTGCACAAACTTATCTCGTGCCCTCATTGGTCATGTGCGCGTTCGTGTGTGTTGGAGGAGAGGCTCTGTAAGGAAGTGGCAGATTTTTTCCGGCTGTGTATTTTCAAATTCTAGCGCACTCGAGCTGGTTTCTCCAAAATTACCTACCCCACCTTTAATGACTGATTGTACAACACGTGAGCCCTGAAAAGTTTTCCATTTTAAAGAAACAAGCCTAGAAAATCTAAAGCTGTTAGAGCCACAATGAAGTCAGGGTTATTATTTCGAGTCATAATTTCATAAATGATTTAGTGATGGAGGGGTAATTTCTGTTGCCGTGGTGAATAGGTTTTGATGAAGTGATTGTTTATTTTATCGTAAATATGATCTGTTTCCGTGTACCTTCCGGTGTGTATTTAAGTGAGGTAATTGAGGACAGCCGGCGTGCTCGGAGACCTGATGAGACGGGGAGCGGAACAGTTTTTCGACCGCAAATTGCCTACAGAAATTAGTGTTGCAAATTGGACTGCAAACAAAGTATAGTTTAGTTTGTATAGGAAAGCATACCGCCGAAATATTGTTTAAAGATTTGTTATTTTGAGACTATTTAAGTCAATACTTTTTTGTTAATAAATTACATCTTTTTGACTGAAAACCTTCGGCTGCTTATTGTTTTGGATTGCGTGTCGTCAACTCCGATCTATAGTGGCAAGAGGAAACCCTTGATGCCATTACAAAAGCCTTTCACAGTACAACTTTTAAACATAAAAACTGCATTGACTGTAAACTAATCCAGTCAAGCCACACAGTGTATTAAAATCATTCTAAATACTATTCAAACACAATAAACGCACTGTGTGTAATGGCACAACTTAAATTATATTACATTTATTTCAAAAATAAATGTCTAGTTGAAAAAGAAGAACACATAATTAACTAGGAAAAATATCTGAAAACTACTGCAACTACTGCAATTTAAAAATCTCCATCATCTTGTGTTATTAAAATGACTGCACTGGAACTCAGTCTAGGAAACAGCTTTCTATTATTATAGCCAACATCCAAGCTGCAAGATCAGCTACTATAACTGTATTCTAACACACAATACTGTTATACTTTGCTCAGTGGTAAATCATAGGTTATATAACTCATTGGGTACTTACAGGGGTGTAAAGTAATAAGTACATTTACTCAAGTACTGAACTGAATTACATTCTTTAGAGACTTACTGTACTTGAGTATTCCAATGTTTTGCTACTTTGTACTTCTACCCCACTGCAATTCAGAGGTTAATGTTGTACTTTTACTCCACTACTTTTAATTGAATACCTTTAGTTACCTCTCAAATTTGACTAATTATAACACTTAAATAAGACTTTATTTACACCATGGAGTAATTTTCACAAGCCACACTGAAGCATAACACATCATTAAAACTAGCTGCACTTTTGCAAGATTTGATAAACAAATTAATGCATTAATTATTATAATCTAAATATATGATTCTAAATTGGGCCAATTAGCATAATCACTATTACTCTTGGTACTTTAAGTATATTTTGATATGCTTTCACTTGAGTAACATTTGCAATGCAGGACTTTTCCTAGCGGATTTAGGATTGTAGGAGATCCGGGGCTTAGCCCAGGAGTTGTTGGGGGGCCATACCTATATAAAGTATATGAATATAGTTTTTTTTTCAAAATACCAAACAGATCCTGCATTTTAGCCATGCCTCATTTAGCTCTATTTGCTCTTTCCAGCCCTGTTTTTGCAGGGGGCTGATTCTGTGAGCTGCAGCTGACCACGCCCCCCTGCAGGAGAGGGGAGCGTGCTTTGAGATCAGCTGCTAGGCTGCAGCGGGGAGAAAAAGAGATCTCCGTCCTCCGTATTTTATTCTTATATGATTATATAGAGGCATTATTCATTTGTTTTAAAGCTCAATAAATAACAAAGAAGACCTTTGACCGGCACTTTTCTAATTTTGTCCGGAAGATTTAAACTTTAACGGACATGTTGACCGGCGAAAAAAAATCTAGCAGAAACTCTGTCGGAAGGTCCCCTCGTTCCTTGGAAGAGGCGGAGAGGTGGGTGTTTGTCATCTGCTGGTGGATTACCGGAGAGAATTACAGTGCTTGCCTCGACGGGGAGGGATTGCATTGAATTAGCAGCGGAGCAAACGCTTGCCTCAGGGAGGGAGAAAAAGAGCCACAGCGGAGAATAAACAGAAGGGCAACCACTTGCGGGAAGTCTTCTTCGCTGCTTTTGTGGCAGACTACAGCGCCATTTACAGGCCTGGCATATGTACTGCAGCTTCTCCAGCGCTTCCG